GTATATAAATGTAAGAGCAATTAAAATTCATATTCTGTCCTAGAATTACAGAACGTGGAGCTGTGACTGAAGTACCCTTTATTATTGTTTTCCAATAGATTTTCTCTTAAATACTTCTGTTTTGCTCTGTGAATGTGAAGTAATTACTGTTTAACAGTATTATTGTTTCACTGTAGTTGCAAATACTGAACAACCCATCACAGCCAAGACAACCACAATGATTACAAGAACCTGCAGCTCCCACAGATTTGGCTAATGACACAATCTGAGTACAGCTACAACATAATTAGAGGATTCTGCCCATTACTAGAAGGCTGAGACTTAAGGTGTCTTTAAAAAGGCAATTAGGAGATAGAAAATGCACTGTATAGTAAGAAACAGACTTAACTTGTCTGGATACAATGTTTGCTCTGTGTCTTTCTAAACATTTGTTCAGCTTACCTACCATTAAAAAAAATACCCAATCTATCTGGGATGGCTTCATGTTCAAGCTGGGATTTCCTTCATGAGGAAATGGCCTCAAGTTGCACCAGGAGAGATCTAGGTTGCATTATTAGGAAAAATTTCTTCATGGAAAGGGTTGCCAAACATTGGAACAGGCTTCCCAGAGAAGTGGTTGAGTCACATCCCTGGAGGTATTTCAAAGACTTGCAGATGTGGCACCAGAGGACATGGTTTAGTGGTGGGCTTGGCAGTGCTAGGTTAATAGCTGAGCTCAGTGATCTTTTCCAACCTGAGTCTATGTATTTTGAAATAAAAGCAAAAGCTGAACAAAAATTAGAAGCAAAAAGTTTTCAGGAGGATCATAGCTTAATTCCCACTGAGATAATATAGCCACATAAAATTACTTTCTCATGTGCCAGATCAGTCATATCTAAGTGTCAAAGGGGACTTTGACACAGGAAAAACATCCCCTTCTATCACAGATGGCCACAAAATTATATGTCAAACAACCCTGACCTTGTGATTTGCATTTGCTTAGTTGATTCCCATCTTTACCAAAAAAAGTGTAAAGGAGATATTACTGTGAGACCTCTAATTCTGCAAGTGATGAATAGTATTTGAGTATTTGGTTATTTGTACATTGCCAATACCTTTTGAGAGGACTGGAGTGTCTCTGAAGCTTAATCCAATTGTATGTCCTTCTGGATACATCTGCAACTGATGAAGTGACATGTGACATCTCCTCTTTATTAGAGACCATTTTTAACTAAAAGAAAAAACCCTCACTTAGCTTGCCATAATTTTCCATACAAGTTCCCCAGATGTCACCATTTGCCACCTTCTGGTCCACAGTTCATTGGAACAATGCCCCTTGAAACCATCCTTTTTCTTATATGCGTGAAGCTAAAGACTGAAAAGGTACAGAGCACTAGGAAGAAACAAAATCAAGTACAAAGACCATTATAACTAGTATTTTGATCAGCCAGAACCATTTTGATCAGGGCACAGGTTGCAGAAAGTTGTCCAGATACTCCAGCTGAATCAAATCCTTCAATATATGAATTACAGGGATTAGAGATTCTCATGTAGGGAATTCAGGTTTACCTACCCCTTCCTGCTAAGAGATAATTCAATGCATTGACTTAAACACTCTCAGATATTTCTCTCAGCTTATCCACCACATAAAGGCGATAGAATCACTTGTCTTTAGAAACATGCAAATTAGAAAATTTTACTCTATTTAAATACTGTTCTTAATTTCTTAATCTTATCATCTTCTTATAAAGGGAGAGGTTGATTTGATTTTTTTATTATATTCAGATACATATCCAATCCAATAATTTCCTTCAAGGAAACAGTGAATGCTGTTTTCTAAGAGTTCATACATAAACATATAAAAAGCTTCATCTTGTCTTAGAAATACTTGCCTGATTTGTCCAGCACTATTCTTACATGGTAAGGGAGATGTGAATGTACGGGTGGAGCTCAGAATTATTGAGCAGGTAAGAGTTACTGTGAGAATATGTTCCATTTTATAAACATTGCATGTATTTGCTTTTGTTTTATTTTTAATTGCTATGGATGTTATTCCCAGAATCCTTCATATTATCATTATTTGGTCAGTATTTGTCATGGAGGTTAGCTTTGAAAAGGGATTTAAAAAGGAAATAATGAAATGCTTTAAAGGCAGTTGGGAGGCAAGGTCACCTTCTGAGAAGCACAGATAAAAGCAGCAAAGCCAGGATCACTGCAAAGGGGAGATCCTCACTGTCACCTAAGATATATTAAGAAAATAACAACAGATGGGTCCAAGAAGGGCTTTGAAGCTGAGCCCCATGACCGCGTGTGAGAGCAAGGAGCAAGAAACAGAAATAGGTGGGGGAGTAGAAAAGAAGCATTTCAGAACAGGATGTACCAGAGGAAAGCAAGGGTGGGCAGGGAAGGGCAGGTGGCCTGGGGAAGCTACAGCAATGCAGGTTGCTTTGGTGTCATCCACGTGGATCAGGGAAATCATGTCTGGTTCTAGTGGAAGGACATACCAGCCCTGCACCAAGTCAGTGTGAAGCAGTCCTGTAAAATGGGCTCCTTGTCAATAGCAAACTTTTACTCATTTTGTTACATATGACTTTTTAAATCAGTAGAACCTCATCAGTAGAAATTTTTTAAGAATGGCTTATTTTACTTTAATTGAAACATGCTACTTGCCAGTGCAACCTCAAGTGAAACAAGTGTTGTCACAAGCATCTTTCTGCTGGTATAAGTGCCACATTTTAATGTCATGTGTGCTAGAAATCACAGCCCAAGTGCACTGCCCTGCCTAGGTCAGACCTATCAGTGCAGCCTTGGTCCAAAGAGGGTATCTCTAGTAGGGCATAGTACAAGAAAAGAGAGTAAGGGGGAGTATAGACTAGCTCCCAGAGGAGGAACATTGGATATGCCAGGGTTTGTCATCTTGGAAGAGATTATAAAGACTGATATTTATAAAATCCACCAGTACAGTAGCTGAGTATGGATCAATTTCTTATTTATTCTTTTTATAAGGGAAACATTTGAAGCTGGGAGAAGCCATGTTCAAACTGGAAAAGGTTCTTTCTCCTGCAACAGCTGTGGGGTAAACTGGACAAACACCATGAGAAGAAATCTACTGTCTTACTAAACAGGCAGAAAATATGGCATCAGCTGCAGGTAGCTGGGGAATGGGAGAGCATTAGGAGGCATTTCCACAGGTTTAGCCTTACCTGAGGGTGGCTGCTCCTGCAGGCTGCAGGATATTGGGCTGCAATATTATAATTCACTGCATTCCATTAATTAAAAAATGTAGCATTGTTTCCTTAAGAAGAGGAGTATCATAATTCTCCAAATATTTTGCACTTCACAATTCAATTTTACGCACAGCATTTGGCTGTTGCTAAACAATTTGTGCTGAAAGGTTTTCGTTTTACTGCATCTTCACTTTTGAAATATGAAGGTGATATATCATCCTAATTGCAGATGCAGTTAGACCCCTATGAATGCTAGAACTGGTGCAATCTTTCCCTGTATTTCTAAAGTATTTAATTACTGTAGTGACAGACACATTGAAGCCCTGACTAACACTGACTTTTTTTTTTTTTGTTTATACCACATGTAAGATGGTGGGTGATTCAGGATATGATAGACACGTTGAAGCCCTGACTAACATTGACTCTTTTTTTTTTTTGTTTATACCACATGTAAGATGGTGGGTGATTCAGGATACAATTAAGATTTTTTTTTCTGTAAATGGATGGAATTTGTTATTATAGTTGTGTTACTGTCACCTGAACATCCTGCTGCATCCAAACTCCTCTTTGCATATCTTCTGTAAGAAATGTCTTATAAATCCTGAGGACATCTTGCACCCTCATGAGGCTGTACAGCCTTGTTACCTGAAATACACTGATGCAAACTGAAAGAGACAGCACAGTGGACAAACTGCACACTTATCATGCACTGAATGCAGGTAACATAACACCCAGTATCCCAGCTTGTCAAAAACAACCACATTCCAGAGGGCCTGTTGTGCTTTAGGAATGGTATTCTCCATTTTAGCACCATTGCAAAAAATTAACCCTGTCCAGGTTGAAACCAGGACAGGACCTAAAAGCAGAGCAAATATGAAAGCAACATTTCTTTCTCACACTCTTTCACTGTCCATGAAGCAGGTTAGCAGGTAAGAAGAGATCCCAAAGTCTGTAATTTTTATCTGAGAAAGCCTGCCCCAGTGATCTCAAGTGATAATGGTCTTTAGAGACATGAATTTCATGCATCTTACAGATAAACTCTGAGTAATCTAAGTAGAACTGAACAGTCTATCACCCAGTGTTTCATGCAGAAAATCTCTCAAACCTACTGCACCATCATATAAATTCTTTACAGGAGATAACAGGATAGAATCTGATTCTACAGGGCAAGATCCTGTGCTCTGCTCATCACTGCACTTTCCCTTGTCTCCAACCAACCTCCTATTGTAAACACGCTCCAACGCTCTCAAGTCATCAGATCCCTCAATGGCGTTTTCCCAGGTTATATCTTGAGCTACTGGCTGAAGCAAGGCCCCACAGTAAAGAAATCTGTGAGCAAAACAGGTACATCACTGTACCTATCACACATGGCTGCTTCCCAATGGTTTCCTCCCTCCCTACCCCACCTCTGTCTCCAGAGCCTCATTCCAACCTTACTGCCTCACCCAAGCCCCCTTTCTCACCAGGCTTTGTTTTCATTCTGGCTCTCTCTGCCCATGCTGTCCCTACTCTCCTGTTCATTCTTTACTGTGAGAGAGGTGAGGCACTGGGGTTTCCCAGAGAAGTTGCGGATGCTCCATCCACAACTGGATGTGTTGGATATGGAAGTGCTCCAGACCAGGCTGGATGGGGTTTTGAACAATCTGGTTTAGTGGAAAGCACCCCTGCCCATGGCAGAAAGGCTGGTACAAAGTGATTTTAAGGTCCGCTCCAACCCAAACCATTCTGTCATTCTGCTCCCGTCACTACTCCAAAAACGCCCTGCTCACTTCTGTTTCCCACTCCCGGTTTTACCAGATTTTGACAGCTCCATCTTTTATCGCAGGCTCGCGTTGCAATGCCCTTTCCCCCCTCCTTTTGACCCTCTGAACCTGGTGGAGGGTCACTGCAAGCGCAGGCCCCGCCTCGGGGCTCCCTGCCGGCGCAGCGGGGCGGGCGCGGGCGGCGGTTCCGGCGGAAGGCGGCGGCGGGGCCGGGGCCGTGCCGGGCCCGGCGTGGGGAGCTTCCCGCAGCGATGGTGCAGGAGCCGGGCCCGAGGCTGGTGGCCGAGCTGCTGCTGCGGGCGGGGGCGGCCGGCGGCATCCTGTGCCTCTGCTCCCGCGCCTTCGTCGAGTGAGTAGCGCCGGGCGCGCCCCCGCGGCCCGGGAGCGTCCGGCTGGGGCGGGCGGGAAGGGCCGCGCTGCTGCGCCAGGGGATGCGGGCGGAGCGGGGATTTGCGGGGCTGTGCCCAGAAGCACCCCACCCAGTTTATCACTGGTGGGGGGAGCAGAAAAGGGTGAGAGGAGCCCCCAACGCCGATCCCTGGGCCGGGGCTCGGCGCGCCGTGCCGCCCCTTTCGCGCTGCCCATCCGCAGGGAAGCAGCCGGCTCCTCGCGGAGAGGAGCACGGGAACATTTCATTGCGGAGTGTACTGCGTAGTGCGGCGTTTACTGAGCGTCGCTCCTATGGGCTTTGCCGTCAGGCTTTAATTAAAGTGTTGCCTTTTCCAGATGTTGTTACTTTTTATTTGTTTCGCGTGTCTGGAGTCACAGGGCAGCCCGTGTGGGAAGGGACCTTTGGAAAGGTCCCTTGGTCCAGCCTTTCATGGGAGCGGAGCCTAGAAGAGATTAAGTACCCCATCAAGGATCGGCTTTTAACGTCCAGTGGTTGGGATTTTATTGCATCCCTGGGGAGGTTTTTTCCACTGAATGATTGCTTTTACTATAAAAAAAAAAACCCATTGTTTCAATGGTGCTTTTCTGCATTTGTTTCTGTCTTTATTTTTACAGAGATCGAAAATTATATAAAGAGGGATTAAAAGGATTTTATGTTAAAGATGACAATGACAGTACGGGTAAGCTAATACAATGTACTATATAATGTAGGTGCAGTCTCAAAGTGAATTATGTGTGGTTATTGAAGTTGTTCTTATTTCTGTGTTTTTCAGTATTTTGCAATAGGGACAGAAGTGAATGATAACTTAGAACATACATAGCTTTCAGGTTGCGTCATATTGATGTAGAAATTTGTGTCAAACCTAGTGCAGTGCTTATTCCAGTCCAAATAAGATTTACCAGCTCACATAATATTGACCTGGTGCATGGAACAGATTATATCACACATCCCTGACCTGGTGATCCCTTGAAATCCCTGATACCTTGAAATCATAATTGATCCCTTGAAATCATAATTTCAACTTAATTTAATATTGATTGCCTAATGGAGGGTCTGTGGATCCTATGTGTTTGTCTCCTCTGTCTCTATCCCAGCCTAGGACATTAGCTGTTGCTAGTTAATCTGCTGAGCCAGAAGTATAGAAATGCAATAGCACTGATAGGGAAAATTATGATTCACATATATACAATGAATCACATGAGGAGGACCAGAAAAGTCACTTGGCATGCTTGTAATCTAGGAATCATCATGGTATACTCTCTAACAAATTCAACACCAATCCCTTACTTCATCTCCTGAATTCCTCATGTTTGCCTATCTGACCATAATTGTTTTGGTATCTTTTTTAATCATTGCTGTGTTGGTAGATCCAGCAGTATAATATCTTGATTTGAAAGGAAGTCTGTGCAGAAACAGAAGCTAATAAATAATAGCACAGATTAGATTAAGGCAATGTGAGAGGAATGAAAGAAGGAGATTGTAAGCTATGTTTTTGTACATGTATGAGTGATTTGCAGTGAGAATAATCAGTTAAAAATTGAAAGGTCTCAGGTTATGTGATAATTTGGCAGTAAATATATCCTAAACAACCAAACCAAAAACTTTGAATGTTTCAGTATTGTCAACTGAGTCAAGAGCTTTTGATTTCATAATTTTCATCCATATACAGCTCCTACTTTCTCAGTAATATTTGTAATTTTATTTGTAATATGTTTTTGCCTATTTGATAAAAGTGCAAGCTTGCTGGGGAGGGCAGAGTCAGGCAAAGAGAAGGTTACGGAGGCTGTGTGAGTACTGCTCAGCAGTAGCCAAAACATCAGTGTGCTATCCACGCTGTTTCAGCCACAAATCCCAAACACAGTGCCATAGAGACTGCTATGGGGAACTTAACTCCTTTCCAGACAGACCCACTCCAGTGCTTTGGCTGTGGAAGTTACATTTTGATTCCTACTGATAAGTTATGCAGAAATTGAGCTGTTTATGAGGAAGATGTTTAAGTGAGAAAGAAAGCATAAGAGGCTGTTCTGCTATCTTTTGTGTGCCGTGCTGTGGCATTGAGGTGTCAGAACCAGATTATATTCATGAATATAACTTGTTAACAGGGGAAGAACAAGCATCTGAGGAGGAGAACCATTGTCCCAATGTGAGATTAAAGGTGAATGCTAATCATGCCCTGGACCTGGAAGAAGTTGAATTAGACTCAGAAGCTGAACTTATGAAGAGCATGGGATTGCCTCTTCAGTTTGGTGGGCAGTCAGCCCACAGGGACTTTGTGGTAAACCTTTACTTACTTTATTTGTTCTGTTTGGGTAGTGTTTCCAGACCTAGGGATGTGCCTCCTCTCAGTTATTTCTGAGATGGCTGTTCATGGAAATGTATCTGAGCTGCCTTTAAGCTGCCTACATTGCATCCTGTTAACAGCACACAGCACCTTGGTCTGTCCAGGTTGTAAAACCCCTCTGCCAGTTGGACTAAACAGGGTCAGGGCTGTGCTTTATGTGTCCATCTGTTCTGCTCTTGTGACTAGAGAAATGTGATTTAAAACAGCTGTGATAAAGCTGATGCTACACATCAGGACAGCTAGTACACTCCAATCTGAGCATGTATTTTCACACTGTCTGCCTTAACCATTTAGCTTTTGATAGTAATGTAAACAGCAGGTTTTTCAGATCCCCCTTGCAGCTGATAAAGCCAGGCTGTTCCAAAGGCAGGAGTGAGGCTTTGGTGCTCTGCTTCCCATAGGGAGCATTTGGGCTTTGGAAGGGGCCTGAAGTTTTCACAGATGACAAAAAGTGCAATATTCACAGTGTCCTCTTTATGGAATACAGACTTCCCTGACAGTGAGACAGGTTCTGACCTAATTAATTTGTAAATAAATAGGAAAATCTTATATGTGATTTTAATGGATAACTTGTAAATAGACCATACAGGCGTCCAACTTCAAGCCCAAAGTATGTGTGCAATTTTTGTTGCTGTGTAGTGATATGCAAATAAGTTGAATGAGAAAAGAATGCATTTTCTTATTAGATTACTATTAACCATTGTGCTTTGGACTGTGTATAATAACATGAGGAATGTGGATGAAAGATCAATGCCAATTCTTCAGTTTTAACTTCTTTGTAGTCCACCATACATTTTTGTCAGTGTAACAAAACTAAGGATTACAGCTGTTGGGGCATACATTCACAGTCTTTTGTCCATGTGAGTTTTGTTATCACAGGAAGTTCCTCTGAAACAAGTGGAGTTGTGATTGATAAAAGCAACAAGTTACCTTAGTGTTCCTTTTAGGAGCAGGTTTCTGTCTTCTGTTCCACCAGATAACTGTAGTAGCTGAGTTTGTTGTAACAAGTGAAATGATTGTACTGCACAAATGAAAGGGCCATCTGTTTGGGCAGGAGGTTGTTGTTTCCTTGTTTCCTATTTCCATTAGCCAACTTGGAGATTATTATGGGATGGAAAAGATATTGCTCCCTTCTTTTGGGTCACTCTCTTCAAAACAAACAGATTCAGCTGCAGGATTTATAGAGCTTTTGAGTAAAGAATGATTTTTTGTGTGTGTGTGTGTACAGCATCCAAAGATAGCAAGTATTTAACATTGTATGAGGTTGAGCATTATGTTTGCTATCCTAATAAAACACTAAACAGTGTTTGCTGATAGGGCAGGTACTGGGTAAAAGTAAGGATCAGCCACCACAGCCCCATAAAACAAAACCAAAATACCAAGACAGTATTTTGCTGTTGAGCTCAACCTTGACACCCTTCAATTTCTGCCCAACTTCCCTTTAGGATTTTGTAGTGTTTCTTGTCGATGACTTTCCTTCTGAATCTTTGAGCTGCTAATGACTTCCCACTCAGCAGCCCCATTTCTGTCTATCATTCTGCTTTTTTGTATATGTGTGTTTCTACAGCTCTTCCTCACACCTTCTTCAGAAGTGTCAGTTGAGGTTATGTAGCAGGGCCCTATCAGACCCAGAAACTCTACAGCTTTTTTGGGGAGAAAGCTAACAGCAGGGTTGTACTGAGAGGGAGGGTTCCAATGGAAACAGAAATGTGACTGGAGAGAGGACAAGATTGTGTATATGTTGTGGACTTCTAACTTTTCCATTATCTTTTAGGAAAAAGAAAATTACAGAAAGAAAAATAACGTGAAGATTATGAAAAAGAAAAAGAAGAAGAAAAAAGAGTTACAGCAAAAACACAAGGATAAAATGGGGCAGGAATGCCAGGACGAAGCTTGTGGTGGTTGTATCCAGTCTGTTTCTGGTGAGCTGGCCCTAGCTACAGAGCAATGTGAGATGAGCAGCAAACCTCATGCTGTAATTGAAGAGAACTGTTCAGAAAGCCTTGCAAGTGAGGCTTTATCCAGTGGACTTAAGGAAAAATGGGAGAAGTACTGGAACGAGTATGGAGAGGGCCTTCTTTGGCAAAGTTGGTTGGAAAAGCACCAGGAGGTCTCATCATCTGAGGGCATCACATCCTCTGAGCCTTGGAGTAGTCCAGATACTAAGGAAGAATGGGAGCAGCATTATAGTGAACTGTACTGGTATTACTGGGAACAGTTTCAATACTGGACAAGTCAAGGATGGACTACTGAGAGCTCACATGGTGACAAGGTGGAAATTAATGGGATTACACAGGAGACTGGTTTTTCAGGAGAAATGGGCTTGGTTAGCCCAGGATCTGAGCACAGTGAAGTGCTGAGCTTGGAGCTGTCTCCCTCCAACACCAGAAGTGAGGAAACGCTCCCTTCAAGTGCTGAGCCCCACAGTGAAATAAT